ATCCACGACAAACAAATCTTTCGAAAAACTTAATTGAACATTTTTATTTTAACGATATCGTTATTACTTGGACGGTTCGTTTTTTTTTCTCACACAACAAGAATTGCATTTGATTGACATATTTTAATATAACAATGGCGCCACCTGACAAACGTTTACTTCAACAATTTGGTTCGTGACACGATTGCAATGTATGCAAATATTAGTCAACCCGTTCGCTGTAATACCACAATGTCGATGCGGCGGTGGCAAAACATAAACACACACACATTTTACATACTTTAATAAAATCTTTGTAATTTATTCATTTGAATGTTTGGTTGATACGTTTGCAGTCAGAAAATATGGTGGCGACATGATATTTCCTTTAGTGTATCATCATGTTGCGATGAAAAGCGCGCGGTACAAAGTACTACACGGCATTCATTATATTTAAAGAGTAAAAATGAGCTGTTACACGTTTATACTTAAGGGTATTAAAAATGTGTATGTGTATGCGAAGGGAATATGCAGATGTTTATAAATTACACACCAAATGAATATGGGCGCACGAAATAGTACAAACGGAATGAATGAGTGCCGAAACCTGGGATCGAATGAATAAAAGAGTGTGTAAGCGAGGGAGAGAGGGGGGGGGGGGGCGAAGCAAATATTTAAAATGGCCCGTTTTATCAACATTGTTATCATTGCAGCATAAAATTAGACGTGCATATATACTGCTCATAAACACTTTGCGATGATGAAATTTTTGAAATTTCCATGACGAATGTTTGGCGTAATTTGTAAGTCATTCCACCAAATACAGGCATATTTTAGGTAAATGCCATAAGATACTTCAATATATGCTTAAATGATTGTGTCTTACGACAGTATTTGTTTGCGACGTAATATTCGCTCACCAAATGATGTCTTTATTTTGTTGTATGTGTGCCAAAGATTGTGCGATAGTGATTTTTGCGTGTCATTGTCATAATATTGCTTAATTTCATTAAACTATCGTCAAATTATGTATTGCATTAATTTGGACTAGCCAATTCACAATATAAATTTGTTGGTAAATTGCAAAACCTTATTATGAGGGAAATCGTCACATCAAAATGATGCAAATTTCATTAGCTGTGAAACTGAAAGGAACAGCGATCTTTGTCAAGCTTTCTATCGTAGTTTTTCTTTCACCCTTTTCACAGTTCTCTTCACAACGACACCCGCTACACAAAATAGCGCGCAAATATACGTTAATCAGTGCAAGCGCTACCCTATTCCTCACGCATTTTTTTTAGGTTGCAAAATGTCGCGCCCACACGAACAGCATACACATTTGTTTCGTTAAAATGATTTTAATTTATTATTCACATTTATTATTTATTTCCATATGCAATGTATACACAATCTGCCGTGCAACATTATGCATTGAAACATATATGAATGGGGTAGAATAAAAACTACTTCTCGAAAAATTGCTATTTTAAAACGAAACCTAAAAAAAATTTCAATAAGAAGTGAATCAATTTTTTTTTGTCCAATTGAAGTGAATCAAGAAAATTTTGTTCAATAAAAGTGAACCAAAAAAAAAAAATTCACTCGGTTTTTTCAGTGTAAAATACACTAAAATGATTTTTTTTTTTGAGTTCACTTTTATTGAACAAATTTTTTTTGGTTCACTTCAATTGGACGAAAAAAAATTGATTCACTTTTCATTGAAAGTTTTTTTTTGGTTTCGTGTTTAAAAATTATTCGAGAAGTAGTTTTTATTCTACCCCATTCATATGTGAGCATGTTACGCGTTCGTATATTCTGATACGCGGCGTTGTTGTATGGTGCAAAATAAATGAACAAATCGAATATAAATGATTTACGCATCGCGTTCAATTAGATGCATGAGGTGTGTTTTCAACTTTGAAACTATAAAAGATGATGACTGCAAAAGAAATGAACAGCAATGGAACTAAATTGACGTTATTTTGTTGAATAATATCATTTCTTTCGATAGAAAATATAAGACCAGGCGTTAACACTTCTACGAACAATTGCGTAAAATTCTTTCAACAACATCAAAAACTGGGACTCATATGTATTCCTCCATCTGCAGGTAGAGATATGCATACGTATCCATGAATATAGTCACTCATTCGAGGAGTCTAACTGGAGGAATATGTATCCATATTCATAGGTGTTGACGATGGTTCCAAGGGTTCGTATTAGCCTTTTAAAACATTCGTAGGACCCTGGATTCCTTCAATTTGCTAGGGTTTTTGAGCCAAGCTCTTCCTTCCTGTAAACAAGTTTTTTCTGAGTGAAATTAAAGAACCCTTTTTGCAAGAAGATTTGCCGAGAGAATCAGGGGGGAGGGGGTGATTTCGTTTTTTTTGGAGATCACTTTTTTCAGTGAAAATCCCTAGCAAATCGAAAGAATTTTCTCGGAGAAATAAGAAAATTTATTTATTCTATTTCCAACTTTTGTTGAGCAACAAAAAATCTTCACTTTTTGAATCAAAAACCCTAGCAAATTCGAATAATTTTCGAACATTTTCTCACCCCCCTCCGACTCCTCCACACTACTGCACTAGATAGAGTTGACTCTTGTGAGGAATTATGGATTTTGCCATCACCTTCCTGAAAAAATTCCGGTGTACTATTCGTTGATCGACAGATATTCTCTTGTATTCCAATGTTCAGGTATGTACCCATACTCGCTGGTAAAAAATAAGAACCAAATAGAGCCATTTGTCGAACCGAAGTATATATATAATAAGTATAGCGAATACTACATTTGCGTATTATCCCGATGAGCCTATCAAAAACAAAATGTGACATAGATTTCAAAGATGAATACAATTCCGAGGCAAACATTCACAAAGTTGCACCATATGAAGAGAAATCAGTGTCGAAAATGAAAATATAGAGCCTGTAGAATGGCAGAAATAACAAATGAGTTACAGTTTCGCATTGAATTATAGATACTTTGTGCTGATTTCATAAATAATGCATAATTACTTGCAATTGAAGAAATACGAAATAGTAATACTTTTGTATCGATTTGGTGAATAGACTCAAACATCGTATCAAGTCACGTATAAACATTTGGCTCGTTATTTCGAATGCGACAATATTCACTTTCATAGTAAGCACTGCTTATGTGATAATAAACGTTTTTGAATAGATGATATATGATTGTTATACATACACATACATTTCTAAATACAATATGACTAAATATAATGGCGGGTGTAGGTATGTGGCACAGTGACATGAGTGTCCAGGTGGACGCAACTCCTGACATTTTATATTAATTTTCATGCAATCAAAGTGGGAATTTTGTACTTTGCGACCAGAAAAAGAGTTTTCACAGTCCGTTCGCTCGAACGGTTCCGTCCGTGTAGGTACCTATATCACCGAACAGGATATGTTTTGATCAGAACAAAGTAATTGTATTGAGTTTAATCTTTTCTCTTTTCTCTATATGTTTCGTTTTCAATGTTCGAAGTGCTGCGATTACTTCATTTCGATTGCATTACTTTCAGTCTATCGCGAACGCGTTCGTTTGTTTGTTTTTGAGGCCAATGGCGAAACACGTTTTAAATGGATAAAATAATGTAATGAATGCGTAAAACGGGAGAGAGTACAAATCGAAAAATCTGTGCTTTGAAGTTGATATAAAATAGTTATTTTGTCGAGTTTACCTGGATTGCGATAAGCTTCTTATAACACTGCAGTGGCCATTAATTTTCCAAGCTATGCCAGTGCATGTATGTTGTATGGAGTACATTCAAAAGATGTTACATATTCAAACGCATTATAAACACGCATCCATGATCACACTCACTCACTCACAGACACACACACACTCGCACACGCACGCATACCAAATACTATATTCAAAGTTTTATGTTGTGAGAATACATTAGATTGTAGTATGTGCATTATGAACGTTTCATATTTGCAAGTATCCACAGCAGCATCTAATCCGGTTTGGCTATTTTGTACGGAGACGAAAGCCATATTTCGATTTTCACCATACGAATTTCAAACACATAAAGATGAAAACCAGAGATGTGGATGGAAAGAGAATGGGTGTGTGTATGTGCGAAAGGGCATGGAAAAACGACGAACATAAAAGATGGCAAATAAGCTTTGAACGAAATTTCCCTCTGGAAATAATGCTACATTTACACAATGATATTTAGTGTCATTCGGTGAGTATGACTCTATGTATTTGTAATTATTTCATGGTTTCTAATTGTTTCTTACATTCAATGTGTACGTAAGCACTAAAGATGTGTTCATTTCGGTCAGATTATTAATACAAGAATTAAGTAAATATTGTGTGCCAAAATTGGAACAAATGTACAAACGATACAGCAAAGCATCCAGAGTTGATAACTCTGCCCCATTCTGCATTTCAGACAAACCGTTGTATAAATAAGAAGAATGCTTTACAACAGATATTGCATCTCGAAAATAGTCTCTGAATGATTGTGATTGGAATATATCCATGGATTGAATAATACACCACACACACATCCATTTATAATACGTTGTGTGTTCCCAATAAATCCCAAATAGTAAACGTTCTCAATCGACGGTCGAGAATCGATACATGAATGACATCGAAACTAAACATTTCTTAAAAAATATCTCAAAGTCCGTTTTCGAGGAACGTTTACTAGCCACCAATTTATCCATACCGAGATTAAATCGAAATTTATTTTTGACTAAGTAAATTTAAATTAACATACACGCTTTGAAATCATATAAAAACACAATGGGCACCAAATGGGCTTTTAACACATCTTCACCCGTCCCATTCTCATTTTACATTCTATTGTATAAAAACAATACCAATAGAAAGTCAAATGATTTAAGCAAACCGGTTGAAAGTTTTCGTATTCGAAAATAACTTTTTAACATATGTTAAGAAAGTTTTGGCACTAAATTTAAACATTCATTGCGTCGCATTAACTAACGGAGATATGTCAACCAATGCACGTAGTGCAATAAGAATGTCATACAAACTTGATTTACGCAAGTCTGTTTCAAACCTTTTTGGACAGCTAAGTACAAACGAAATTCTTCGTATGTTCAAAGACAAGCCAATCTCTCGCCGAACAATTTTTCGTGTTTTAAAGGATTGTCATGAAGATAAGGAACCAGAAAATAAAAAAAATCTGGTAAGTGTCAGAACAACGAAAAGTCTGCTATCGAATGCCAAAAACAAGGTCGGTCAGTCAACACGGCGATTATCGGGAAAATTTGAAGTTTCATACGTGACAGTTCATAACATTTTGAAGAAAAACAACGTTTTTTATCGGAAACGTAAGCGAGCACCAAAATATACAGCCAGACAACTCGAAATAATACCTAAATGTTGCCGTGAACTACGTCGTAAACACTTTGTAAACGGAAAATTCATGATTTTGGATGATGAATCTTACTTCACTTTTTCGCACCATGAATTGAGTGGAAATGATGGCTTTTACACTGAAAATATTGTATCAACACCTGACAATGTTAAATATGCTAGCAAAGCCAAATTTGAGCCAAAGGTGTTGGTATGGGTGGCCATTTCATCGAAAGGTATTTCAACACCAGTTATTCGACCATTTGGAGCCAAAGCGATCGATTCTGACACTTATATCAATCAGTGCTTGCCAAAACTGAAGCAATTCATTGAAAACCATCACACCCGAGCCGAAATCATGTTTTGGCCGGATCTTGCAAGCAGTCATTATGCGAAAAAAACATTAAATTGGCTAACTGCTCAAAATATTCCTTTTGTACCGAAAAAGGACAATCCACCAAACATTCCACAGACACGTCCAATCGAAGATTTCTGGTCGGTTCTTAAACGTAAGGTGTACGAGAAGGGCTGGGAAGCTCAAAACGAGCAACAATTGATAGGACGATTCAAGCGAAAGTTGAAAGATATCAACATATTTTGAAGGTTCGACGCATACTGCGAAAAATCGAAGACAATGGCCCGTTAAGTGTAATGTAAATGTGCTATTCGATAGCCTATGAATAAAGGTTTATACTAATAAAAAAGAATTTAATATCGTGTGTTTGTTGTTCAAATGGCGAACGTCTGAATTTAGTGCCAAAACTTTCTTAACATATGTTAAGATGGCTTTTTACCACCTTAGATTAGACCATATTTGGCCAAACTATAACCGAAAAATAAACGACGGTTTTACATAAGGTTTCAAATTCAATTTGGCCAGTCAGAAAACCATAGATTGTTTGCGAAAAGACTCGATAGAAATTGACCAAAATATTAAAAAAGCAGCCAATAAATAATATTGTGCGTTTTTGGCATATTGACTATGATATATTCCTTCGAATGGATTTCTTCGGTATTTCGAGGAGAGAGAGAGAGAGAGATAAAAGAGAAAAGTATACGATCTAAATTTGAAGAATGGGTCTTTTATGGAGATTATAAAGTTTATGGAAAATGCATGGTAAAATGTTTTACTTGAAGGTGAATGCGTTGGGAATCGGCTACGCTTGGCTTTTTTTCTCTCTCGTCTTTACCTTTAATAACTCCACCTCTTCATTTCGGGGTCATATCTAATTTTCAGAAAGAGCATCAACTTTTCGTTCGACATGTTGATCATCTAAAATGCGATGAGCAACGAGCACATGATACACTTTGACGTGACGCACCATGGGAAAATATACGAAAGTTTTGAAACGTGAAAATTCCCACTCGAATCTATATATACAATATATAAAATAAATGAATGCTATGGTTAAAGAAACCACTTTCGATGGGAATATGAATGAAGCAAGAGCGAATTGTGAATCGAGGTAGTCTTAAATTGATATTGACAGTCTATAACAAAGACGTGTACCACGCATACACACACACACATGTTACTCTATGGCCAAGTGCATAGTTTTGGATATCCACAGCAAATACAGACACATCGATCGATGTGATACAGTGAAAGAGCGCCATGCACAATGCCTTTTCGTCATACAAAAGGAAAGGAATTACAGAAGCAAAATCGTATTCAGCATGCATACAATACACAATAAATTTTATATTTTTAATGCATATGAAATAAAGTAGAAAGTTTTATGGAAATAAATATTGAAGGAAATGCATTTGCATCGTCTGTGTTGTTGTTTTCACTTTGCCATTTTATTTTGGTTGTCGTTGATGGTATGGAATGAGCTAGCGAATGAACAAGCGGACAAGCGAGAGTGGGAGAGAGAGAAAGAGCGCGCGGCTGTAGCAACGGAACCAAGAAATAAACGCATGAACGAATATGTTCGTTACACACTGAAGCATTTTCGCAATAAAGAAACGAAAAGAACAAAACACGTAAACATCCATCGCTGAGAGAGATGAATTCAATGTTGCTTTTATTTACCCAAATAAAGTCGGAAATTTTTAAAATCCAAAAATGCCCCAACACTGAAATGTGAACCAACATCCATCACACACACACATATACATACTTTACACGGTGTGATATGTCTACAGTTGAATTAAATTGTGTTTTAAGATCTCTATATACATAAATTCAGTTTTTTGTTGTTTTGCCTTTATTTCGTTTGGCTTGCTTGTTTATTATTCATGAGAAAAGCTTCGTTGTATTTGCTTGCCAGATAAATTAGACACGGAGAGCACTAGAGAATGAAAAAAGTGATACGAAGAAGAGAAAAAGTGAATGGATTGACGGTCAATCGACTGAAAATTTGATCCGCTATGCTTTTCATCAAATAATAATACACACTTTCTCATGTTGTCTATCGTTTCTCTTTCCCCATTCATCAATCGTGCATGTTTGTTTGATGACGTAAAAATACATCAATAGAAGAATAAAATTCAATAACAACAAATATGCACTTAAAATTCAATATGCATAATATGGAGCAACATGAAAAAGTTCCCAATTGTTTTCATTTTTCTCCATTTCCCATGCTTGGTGGTATTTATTTTTATTTCGTTCTCTCACTTTCTTTCATCTTTACTCATTGTTTTCCCAGACTTTTCTCATTTTATACTACATAAACTCGATTTCAATTCGTTGGCAATATCTCTTCAATTGTTCGCATAACTGTTTCCACCGACATATTGAACCAAAAAAAAAGCTGTCGCAAGTGAGGAGATGAATAGAATAGAATACACTATACACATGAAAAACAAATGACACAAATTGATACTGATCATAAGCGCATTACCCGACTGACTAAAATGAGTACTCGATGCACCCTCTAGTAAAACATATACAATCTTTTGGAGTCATTATTTCTTTCTGGATTTACTTTTAGAAAAGACTTTTTTTAACATGCGTTAATAACTTCATTTGAGATCATTATCAATAGTAATATATTGTAATTTCATTTAACTTATGACACTCATTCTATTGTATTAGATTTTCTTTCTCGGTGTGATGTTTTCGATAAATAAAAGGATTTAGAAATAGAAAAACTATTTAAAACAACATATTTTTCGATCACTTTTATTAAGTTTGTGAATTCATTCACAAGAAAAAGTTTTTTACATAAAATCAGAAAAATTATATTGAACATAAAAAATTATGAATTATGTTTGCATCTTTTGTGCCTCTTGTCCTGCCTTCTTCCTTTTTATTCAGGTTTTCTTGCTTTCAATTTTTCAAATTCTTTTTTAATAATTTTTAGTGTTTGTCTGAATTTAAAATAAGTTTTATTAATATCATGTATTAAAAAAAATTGCATAATAAAAGTGACTTACTGATTTGTCGCATATGCATTATCACTGTTGAACATGTTTATAAGATATTAACAAAAAAACAGAGCATCTTGATTTGCTGCTGCTCAGCATATAGCTGAGAGCTGAGAAATGCTGAACTCGTGCGGCTAACGCATACGAAACGGATGGCACGCACACATGCGTTCTCCCCGTTTAAACGGTTATAAACAGTTGATTGGACGTTCAATTCAAAACTCAAAACTTAGTAACCAGTTGAGTTTGAAATTGTGTTGCGACCGACATATGAGAAGCTGCGAGAAAAACATCACGTCGCACCCCTCGTTATTTTGCTTACGTAAGTGAAAGCAAGAGATGAGATGCGACGTGCTGTTTCTGCTCTCAGTCTTTCATATATTCTGAAAGTGTACGTCTAACGCATACGAAACGGATGCACGATACATATTCTCCTTTCACTTCGTATGTTCGCTGGTATAGTGTGTAACCATTGTACCGGCAATAGCGTCAACGGCAGCACATACGAAGCGAAAGGGGAATATGTATCGTGCATCCGTTTCGTATGCGTTAGCCGCACGAGCTCAGCATTTCTCAGCTCTCAGCTATATGCTGAGCAGCAGCAAATCAGGATACTCTGCAAAAAAATAGAATGTCATATATTTAAATAAAATAACTTACATCTTTTCTCTCCCTTGACTCCACCTATTTAAAATTAACATAAATATTTCGAGACATTTTATTTGATATGAGAATCTAAAGATAAAAATTTAAAATAAAAGAACATACTTAGTTGGATCTTGGATTAATTTTTGGAGTACTCTCTCAGCATCAGCAAGTGCATCAAATTGCGCTTGTACTCTTTGTTAAAGAAAAAAGTGTCAAAAATTAAATCAATTGTAAAGGATTAAATTTGTTGTAAATCAGCCGATGAAAAAGAATGTTGAGCACGAACTGATGAAGCAAGATATTAAATTGAAAATATTTCAAATACTAACGCCATTTTTTGATTCTGGAGAAACTGCATCTGTTCCCTGTATTATGAGTTGAAGATCAATTAATTATCGTGTTGAGAGACTCTCAGAAATAAATTCACAAACTTGTATTGTCTTTTGGTCATTGGTGGTTCGTGCTCTCTTCCAGATGTTGAAGTGTCATCATCTTTACATAGAAATGCAAAAAAGGTAAAACGAAAAAAATAGGAAAACTTCTATGTTTGAATCGTTCAGAAAATTACGGTAACTTGATGAACTTCCAGAACTTCCAGAATTAACACCCATATTATCAAAATGATTAGTGAGTGAATCAACATCTGAAATAGTAATGTATAGATGGTTTTTTATTTGTAATTTCCCTGTGGAAAAAAGTGACTGACTGACTGGTTACCTGAAATCGACTGAAGTTGAATTTTGTTAACTGAAGTCGTCTACCCAGTCGACTTTAGTCGTCTATGTAATTCATTTTAAACAGATGACTAATTTGGGACGTTTTTTTATATATTCAACTGCGATTGAAGTTGAATTAAGTTATATTTTTCTCTACTAGGATTGACTAAAAAATCACCCAAATCAACTTAAAACAACTTCAATCTCAGTTGGCTTTAGCCAAAAATGTCCCAAATTAGTTAACTGACTATTTAGTCAGTCAATTTTCCACAAGGGATTCAGTTTTTCTTCGATAAATTACCATAGCCACTATTGCTGGCCATTCGACCAAAACTACCACATGTTTGTGGAACGTTTCCTTCATCTGCACCACCGCGGCTACGTCCTAGCCTAAGTCGACCAAGTCCTCTTCTTCTTCCTCCGTCTCCTTCTGCGACATTCACCATCATCAGAACCTGTCAAAAACACAAAAAACTGAAAACAACGTTCTTTCTTCCAATCATACACAAATATTACCAATGCTAAGACTAGCCCAAAAAATACAACTGGATACTTCATCTTTATGACTAACGACAAAAAGTTGTGATAAAATAACTATGCATAAAAACCCATTATTTATACTTATCAATGGAATTTTTTTCAACTTAATTTACTTGAATACTATCTACAATTATTATGAAAAACAAGAGATGTTTTATTTTTTTAAAATAATTGTGCAAAAAGCAGTTAAAACAACGATGGGAAAGAGTCCTTGTGAATAACTGAGAAGCACGTGTAAACAACAATTGTTCTTCTCAATTTACTCAATTTACGAAAAAAAAAAATCAACAACACATTCTACAGACACACAATTTCCAAAAACAATTTTTCAAGATATTTTCAAGTACACATTTTGGATATTGTATAATGTACAATGTATATTGAAAACAAAAAAAATATTTGAATTACACCTTATGGTTTTCCATTCGAAGGTTAAATGTGTGTTACAAACTGAAAAACAATCGAGTTGTGCAAGATGTCAAAAATGTCTCAATGAAAAAAATGTATATCTTTCAAAGAAGCGAAAAACATATTTCTTAAGAAAAAAATGATAATAAACGAGAAAAAAAGCAAATTGATGGTGATCACATCATCACCTGACTGATTACAATGTGTGTATAAAATGAATACTCAACAAAAAAAAACCATATGCAATCTTTCGAAATGTTGAGAAGTGAAATTATTTCGATGAAATGTACATGTGTGAAACAGACACGTGTTCAATTTGGAAACATTGTTCCCGGTGATCATATGCACAAAATGCAAGTGCGAATGGAAATAATTAATGGAAATGAGCAACGGATTTTGTATTTATCGAAGCATACACATTAATTATTCAATGATAAAAGATGTACATGGGGGTTAAAAGCGTTTAGACAGTTGCATAAATGTATACTGCTGGACTTGTGTGTGCACTCAATTTCACAAGTGATATCAGGTTAAAGATTCAATTTGTATATAAGCTGAAATCATCATTATTAAAGCCCATTGTAATAAATAAATAAATGCATTTGTTGGCAACAGAACGGCAAAAACATCGTGCAAGTATTGCGGAAACATTTATTGTTTTGAATTTAATCTCTCCGCTTTGCCGCTTTTCATATTTTTCAAAAATATTCCATCATCAAAATGTTGTGGATGGGCAATGAGTTACAAACGTTGCACCGTGAATTGTTTTCCCTTGTCACAATGTATTCATAGTTTCTCTAAATATCGAACAAATGTTGCTGTATGCTCATTGGATTCAGTGTCACGTGTAATAATTGCATCAAAAATTAAAGTTAGCTGTGTATAATTACTTAATTTCCATAACAAATAGCAGTCTTCGACTCATTTATTGACCATCAATTGGTGAATTGTTGTTGTTTGCACAATTGTTGTGTATTTCAATTGACATCGACTAAAATCTATATCATGCAAACCGTTCATATTTAGAGGCAATTTATGTTGTTCTCATGATGAATAATAATAAAATGTCAAAGTTATTAAAAAGTATGTGCTTTGTGATCACATTGATGTGATTTACACTGGCATTCAGCATAATTCATCGCATACGCGCAAATCATTGGGCACACCGCGCGCGCCGCGCCCAACCAAATATTATAGTTTTTGTGATTGTCATCGATTTCCATGCGAATGAGATTATATAATATAGAAATATTTGTATATTTCAAATTAGATTTCGATTCTATTCCCAAAGATCATAATAATCATAATGATATACAGCTGGCGCGCTGTGACAATTACTAAATATGATTTGTGCCGATACCAAACATCGAAACAGAGAGAGAGAGAGAAACCAAATGCACGTGTAACCTGTAAGTCCAAAATGAAATGCAATCTGTATCTAAATTTAATGATGAAATTATTCACATCCCTTGCACACACACACACGAATACATGGAAATCTGAAACGGTAGCAAATAATATGCGCTTATGAACATACACATCGCCGAACGATAGAGAACTTGTCGTCATTTATTAACGCATAATTTATTAATGTATTAATACTATTTTTAATTCAAATTAAATAATTCGCTTGAATTTATTTCAAATGCACGCTTGCAAGCTTGTGACATACCAACTCAAAATATAATTACACAGTTTTTGGTAAGCCACAAAAATATTCGTAACATCAGTTTTAAATTCCAATTGCGCTGCATTTTAAACTTCCTCTCGCTCCCTATTTTCTGCTGCATCCGCTTATTGTTATATTTTATCATAATTTTTTTTTGTTGCGGGATTTGGTTTTGTCGCTATTTTGAAAAACTAATCGCGTAATCACAACTTTTTTTCTGTTTCGATAATAAATCTGAATGCTCGCAACTTCATACAAGATGTTCATAAATATTGACCCAAAATTAATTTTCAGCGTGCAATCAATTTGAAAGCAACTGATATTATCTACTTGGCCAAAGCCACATCTGTGCTTTTAAAATAGCAACAAAAAAAATGAACTCAAACACCGAAAATACCAAATTTTTCATATTTCACGAACGACAGGCAGCACTTTTTCCGGGGAGTTGGGCTGTGATTTCACTTCATTCGGTCTTAGAATCTGTTCAGCTTCGCGCATTTTGACACCGATGAAGTAAATTTGGCGCCCAATTCACAAAAGTATTTAAAACACGTAATATGATTCTATTAAATGGTGAAATAATATCTCATGATGCGTTAAAATATCGAAAAATTTCAGAATGAAAAATCGAACGAATAGTTTTGAGTGGAATATTTTAAAATAATCATAAATATTACCATTATAGTAAAAGGTCGCCATTCCATTTATGTAAATATAATGGTTAAAATGGAAAATTCCGATCGAAAAATTGTCCAAACATTAAAACGGTTTGAATTTTTGGTAGAATGAGTGAGAATGATAATCATCATTATCAGCCGTAGGGGAGTTGCGAAAAACAAAAACACCGCCGCCGCTGCCGTTGCCATCATCATCGTCTCTAGAGAGGTATGTATCCAAACGTGCGCAAACTATGATCAAAATTCATTTGCGAAAATATTATTTATTATTTTATTTGTTTTTTTTTTTTTGTGTTGACCATAAAAACCGCTACTATATGTTGTTCTATTTGGTTAGCTAATGTGCGCGTTGATGGTTCTCGTTAATGTAAAACATGTCAAATATATAACAACATTTTTCCCAACTCGCATGATTATATCGGGATGATGTATTTTAAATGTAATGCTATATCGTCGATTTTCGTGAATTTTGTGCAAATATTTTCACACCATCATTTCTCTAATGGCTACGCATTGCTTTTTTTGGGATAATTTACAGCGTAATTTTTTTGTTTTTGTTGTGGGTAAAGAACAAACATACATTTAATTGGAATGACATGGTCAAATACAACACCACCGCCACTACCTCCATCAACAGAACAAAACCACAATGAATACAAATATGCAAGTTAGAATCTTCGATTCGGACTTTAAAGCACAATATAAAAGACATGTTCATTGGTCTCTTCTAATTTCATTTTATCGTTTTCAATCATCAAATTAAATCGACTTTTTTTTGATTTTTTGGCCATTCGACAATGAATGTAAATTTGGATAAATGTAGGCCTTTTTTATAACTTTGGCTGTTCGTTTTCATTATGATTGTGAATCATATATCGAAGTAGTTTTCATTTCATACTTTCATCGTTATCGAGTTTTTAAAAATTTTACGAATTATGAAATGGTGTGTGCATTCATCGTTTGAAATTTGTGTATGTGTATAGATTCAAATTATTGGTGACTGTTGCAAATAATAGCAAACGACAATAGTTTCAAAAACTATACTTGGCATGCATAACAGAGAACGAATGTATTTGCAATGATGGTTCGAATTTTGTGCATAAAGCGTTGGAGCGAACGAAGGCCAACCGAATGGAATGGACGAGAGATATAGATTGAGTGAAGAATGCAGCATGTAAGCGTCATTACAACCAGCTGCATGGCACAATCACCATCACACATTTGGCACTTGGAAAGTGAATTCGGATGAATGTGAAGACATGCAGCATTTTGCTGCATATAAATGCAAACATCCAGATGTCTTTGTGACTATCTGACATGTAGAGGGGTGATTCATACAGGGACAGATCCGTACACACACCATCAAACTCAAAAAACCGACCCCGTCGTCCACATTTGTTTCTACAATCGGTTGTGTCCTTCTTCTTTCATTCCGTGTGTGCCGTTTTCGTGTATCTCTCATTTGCACGCACACTGACACCCCAAACAAAATTACGAACAAAATCATAAAATTTTATAATTCTATTAACAGGTTTTAGTGCGACTATAAAATACTTTCCGTTTATGTGAGCATTTTGCTCTCTCTCTTGCTCATTGCCATTTTTCGTTTCCTGTCTCGGGTTAAAACACGTCAGGCAAATATCTGCTGATGTTCTTGTGTGTGTGTGTCTTTCGCTTGCATTTGCTTTCGGTTCACGCATACGGTCTCGTTTCATGCATTGCTTTGGCCGAAATGGCAATGAAAGTGATTCGTAATTTTTTTTTGTCTTTCTGGTAAAGTGTGAGAGGGCAATAAAAGATGGACTGTTTTCACTGGCACCATTTTTCGAAATGGTAAATCTTGCGATCTGTGGCTCATGTTAGATAGTTGGCCACAAATACACTAGCTCTCAAGCGCACATATTGCACTTACACCAATTGAAGAAAGAGCCGAAAGCGTGGCAAGTCTACAAACGGATGAGCGCCCTCTCCTATTTGAAAGTGTATATGTTTAGTGAAATGTGTATGGGAATGTATAGACGAAGGGAGTTGGAGGTGCCGTAAAAAAAAAGCTCAACCGAAACAACATTCCCAGCAAAAATGCATTAACAAAGGGAAGCGAAACAGACGAAGATGTTAAAACATGCACACGAAGTGTGCTTTCTGGCACCTAATTTAATAATATTATAGTGGTTGACCTACAGCATAAGCCCGGTACATAAACTCATTTGCATTCTTTTGAGGCCTGAACAGGCAATATATAGAAACAAGAACATCGACACAACACACAGAGACAAACACCCGGCCACGATGCACGCCAACATGAACTGTCCAATACACATGCACTTTCGGCTCTGTATGTCAACTCCGAATACTTGGAATAGATTTTTTTTTATAACACGTAAGTGTTTTCAAA